CTCATGGACCCTAGTGGAGAGAGAAAGGGGCGGCCAGGGTGGGCCGCGCGCCCCTCCCCCTCTGGTCCGAATTGGACTAGGAGAGGGGGGCGGCGCCCCCCTTTCCTTCTCCCTCTCACCCTTCCTTTCCCCCTCCTAGTAGGAGTAGGAAAGAAGGGAGTCCTACTCCTACTAGGAGGAGGACTCCTCCTCCTTGGCGTGCCCTAGGGCCGGCCGACCTCCTCCCCTTGCTCCTTTATATACGGGGGCAGGGGCACCCCTAGACACGCAAGTTGATCCACGTGATCGTTTTCTTAGCCGTGTGCGGTGCCCCCTTCCACCATACTCCTCGATAATATTCTAGCGGTGCTTAGGCGAAGCCCTGCGATGGTAGAACATCAAGATCGTCACCACGCCGTCGTGCTGACGTAACTCTTCCCCGAAACTTTGCTGGATCGGAGTCCGGGGATCGTCATCGAGCTGAACGTGTGCTAAAACTCGGAGGTGTCGTAGTTTCGGTGCTTGATCGGTCGCGCCGTGAAGACGTACGACTATATCAACCGCGTTGTTATAACGCTTCCGTTGTCGGTTTACGAGGGTACGTAGATCACACTCTCCCCTCTCGTTGCTATGCATCACCATGATCTTGCATGTACGTAGGAATATTTTTAAAATTACTACGTTCCCCAACACTACCTTCTTTGCTCGTGCTCATTTAGGAAATCTCATTTGCGTTAGGTCGTCCTAGATTTTGTTCAATTATTAGTAAGTGTAAGACCATATTTGATGCGGCATAGTTAGAAGCCGCGTTCCACATACACAATGTCTTCATATCTAAATTTGTTGCTCCGTGGCAACACACGACATTCTACTAGTACTATTAGACATGGGCCGTCCTTCTTAGAACTCGGTCAGGGCAGTCAGGCAGGGACGTCGCCTAGGTTCAAACACATAATATGTAGGAAAATATTTTGTGTAACACCCCCGCAACAAAAAAATAATCTTTTGTGTAACAGGGACAGCATCGCGCTTACTCCCCGTCAGTCTCTTGGTTCTGCGTAGGACGTCGCTATGCACAACCAATAAAAACCTGCCCGTACATGTTGCTGCATGGGCCCCAAAATTTCAGCACTTGGGGAGGGAGATACATCACGCATGTGCAAATCAACATTTCCTCTCCTCTGTATTGGGAGGACAATAAGATGTTGATTTGGCACTTGAACTAAAATGGCTTCAAAGCATGTCAAGTAAAATAAAAACTCAGCTCGATCTTAAAGTTTCCAACTAGATCGATGTTATCGTTTCCACTGTCCACTGGATACGGGCCCACACATGCAGCCACTACATATACTCCAAGACAAACCGCATCTCGATCATCGTGGCCCGCGAATTAAGATCCAGCGTCGAAGATGTCCTCACAAGTCGTGCGGTACTGGCCACTGATCTTGATGCACCTCCTGCTGTCATCCGGCAGCGGGGCGACGGCCGGGAAGGTCCCCGCGATCATCGTGTTCGGGGACTCCACGGTGGATTCCGGGAACAACGATTACATCCCCACCGTCGCCAGGGGCAACTTCCCGCCGTACGGGCGCGACTTCGAAGGCGGCGTCGCCACCGGCCGGTTCACCAACGGCCGCCTCGTCACCGACTTCATGTCGGAGGCGCTCGGCTTGGCGTCCTCCGTGCCGGCCTACCTCGACGGCAGCTACACCGTCGACCAGCTCGCTAGCGGCGTCAGCTTCGCTTCAGGAGGCACCGGGCTGGACGCTATGACGGCAAAAATCGCGGTAAGCTACCGATCGTTATCTGGCAATCTTTTTACCCCGATCTCGATTAGTTTTGGCCAGCGAATTTGCACGTCACTAAGGCTAGCTGATGTTGAGATCTGAAAAGATGTGATCACCGAACTGCGTCTAGAACATTTCAGTTCAGTACTCTATGACTATGATTGACGTATAAGGAATAACTAACTGAAACTCTCTCAGTTCTTCTAAAAAACTACTGTAGTGTAAAAAAAACTCTTATATTATGAAACGGAGGGAGTATTCCCCAATCAACTCGGTGGAGTTCAAGCTATTACGTTACTTAATGGAGGGAAATATATTTTTTTCAATGTTTTTCTTGAAACAAATCTTATGGTACACAGTCAAAATTATTGATAACTCAAAAATCGTCGTATGTTTCTGAACCACGAGGTGGTCTGTTTCTACGGTCATTCATAAATGATTTGAAGTACTCCCGCAAAAAAAAATGATTTGAAGCAATCACAAGACCTGAAATCTATGAGGGACAACTTGCAAGGGAACTAGTGTCTTTATATATAGTGCTAGCAGTCTTGTATACGTACAATGCGTTCCCATATTGTAGAGCGTGTGTTGATCTGATGGATAATTCGTATAGATATGTTTAGGTCTACTAGTCAAACAGTTCGGTTAATATTTTGTATATCATAAGAAACATCATGATATCACCGCTGGCATTTGGATATATTCATAGAAGCAAGGAAGTCGCAAAATACATGAAACCTACAGTTTTTAAATATTTATATACTCCTCCTGTTCATAAATATAAGATGTTTGAATATTTTAATATGAAGTACATACGGATTGAAATGAGTAAACAACACAGTAAAATGTGTTTATATGCATCTGATTCAGAAAAAAGTTACTCCATTTGATCTGAATTAATTGACACAACTTTTACATTGTATAGAGGTTGTGTCAATTAATTTGCATCGGATGGAGTGGAACATCTTATATTTGTGAACAGAGAGAGTACTATTTAAAAACTCGACCAAATCAGGGAAATTGCAGAATACATGATATCGATGCCATTACAGAAAATATTGCAAGGGAACAAAATCAAACATTTGTATCCTTCACATTGTAGTTCTAGTAATTATGTCCTTTAACATTTAATTAATGTTCTTTTAGACTTAAATTCAGTTAGGTTATTGAAAGTGATTCACCGAAAGAGAAATGAAAGATATTGGTCAAGAAAATATTAACCGCTTCCACTGTCGTTTATTTCATTTTCTTTCCTTTTCCATACTGTTGGCAGTAATATTACACTGTGCTACAACAATATTTGAGGGAGGGGGTCTCCCCGATTATGAGAGTACTAAGCAGTACGCTACATTTGTTTTGACTGCTACGTTGTACCCTACATGTCATATAACAATTACATTACATAGTACTAGAATTGTCTTGTCATCTTCTAAAATGTAACTCTTTGAGAAGGACAAATGTGATATGAGGACATGTACGAAGGTACGACGGTTTGTTTGCATGACCATTTATATTTATCAGAAAACTTAAACTACACACAGTGGAAGTAACATAGGTAGTAACATCACATATATTTAGATAGAATAGATGATGTGGCAAGCAATAAATAAAGAAAGAGAAGCATATGATAACATAGCTAGTTACTAGTAGTATAAGTAACATCACACATATCAAGGCATGATGAGTCTATAACTTAATAAATAAAGTGTTGCATATTACCACACATATGTTACTCCCCACTATACAGGTAGTAACATAGAGTAGTAACATGGGCATGTTACTACTCTATGTTACTACCCATTGTGGCTAGTCTTAAATAGGTATGCAGTCTATAAAATGGCCGAGCAATCTATAAATAACTACACATTTGTTAGTGTGAGATACTTTCAACATCTGGAAGAAGAAGAAAAACACTCGATGCTAGGGATATTCCCTCTTTTCGAGAAACAAAAAACATACAACATCTGACAATAGCAAATAATCACCTCGTCATCTGTAAACAACGGACGGTGTATCCTTATTCCCTCTTATCCCATTCCCTCTCTTTCACCTCATACATGTTTTTTTTCTTGCGGGGGCACCTCATACATGTTAAACATCTTTTAAAGAAAGCTAATATTGCATTGTTGTACATGCCATGAACAATGACTATCAATAAAACAGTTTTAAAACCGACATGATATTGGAGGGTGTTAAGACGGTGGTTGTGCAGCGATTCAGGTTGACTGTGCGCCTCACGTCTCACTGATGTCGACTTTTGTTTTTGTGATACATGACGTACATGTCACTACCAAGCATCTGTGGTGACTTCAAAATCCTCTAACATCATGAGTTTAGTAGGCATTCCTATCGATCGTTACGTGTGTTAGTGTGTGTCATGGTGTGTATGTGTGCAGGTCTTATGGGTTGTGTTATTATTTTCTGAGAAAAATGAACTTCATTTCAAGTAACTGAAAAGGTGGAGCAGTTTTGTAGGAATCTAATCCTATCAAGAGCATCTCCACCCATCCCAAAAAAGCCCCCAGAGCACTTTTTCATCGCGCGCGGATAAAAAAGTCTCATTCACGCCCCACAAGCCCGATTAGCGCCGGATTTGGCCGAAAATAGAGCCGGCGACCCCAACACAAACCCAGGAAGCTGGGGGCGCCTGGGGGGCTATTTTCGCCGTTTTACAGGTGCCGGCCCATCTGCCAGTGTCTCTCTCCTCTCTCTTCCCTTTCCTTCCCTGGCTACCATGTGCTCCTGTCCACACATGCCCATCCTCTCTCTCTCACACAAGCCCGTCGGCCGCATCGGGCGCTGCCTCGCCGCTACGCGCAAAGCGTCGGCTCCGGCGCCCCCGTCTACCTCGTCGCCATCCTCCACATCGTGTCGGGGAAGGGGACGGGCGGCGGAGCAGCCGGCGCGGGCGTCGCAGACGCGTGGAGGCGGGTTGCCGCAAGGAGAGGAGCAGCACGGGAGCTCGGAGGGGAGGAGCACCTGGCAGCGAGGGGCGACGCGACGGCGCGCGGGAGCCGGTGAGCGCGGGCGCGACGCGACGGCGGCGGGAGCCGGTGCACGGAGGCGCGACGCGACGGCGCGCAGGAGCCAGTGCGTGGAGGCGCGACGCGACGGTGCGCGGTAGCCGGCACGCGGGCCCCGAGCGGGGCCGGCCCCGAGCGGCCCCGTCACCGGGCTGACCGGCCCCGAGCGTCCCCGGCACCGGGCGCGTCGGTCACGGGCAGCCCCGTCACTGGGCGGACTGGCCCTGAGCGTCCCCGGCACCGGGCGCGCTGGCCACGGGCGGCCCCGAGCGCGGAGGCCACGGGCGGCCCCGGCACCGGGCGCACCGGCCCCGAGCGTGGCGACTACGGGCGTCCCCGGCACCGGCACCGGCACCGGCCCTGAGCGTGGCGACCACGGGTGTCCGCCGTCTCCCTCGTCTTCTCCGCCGCCGCGTCCTTGGTCTCCTTGGTCTTTCCCGCGGCTGTGTCGGCCATCTCACTCGCGCTCTCCTTCTCTTCCTCGGCCTTCTGCGATGCGTAGCTCCCGTACTCATTGAGCTTCTCCCCCGCGGTCCCCATGGCGCCGGTGGAGTGGCTGTCGTGGGCGGTGGTTGTGTTCCGGACGCCGCCGGAGAAGGTGTCGCGGACGGCGCCCAGCAGGGAGCGCGCGCTCTCCTGCACGCTGCCGAAGATGCCGGTCCGCCGTCCTGGGCTGCTGAGCTCCTGCATATCCCGCCTGGCCGCGGCGAGCTCGTCGGTCGCCTTCTGCGCCGTGGCCTGCGCGCGCTCCTCGCGGTGACTCTGCTCGGAGAAGGTGTCGCGTGGCCATCTTGATGTTGTAGCTGTGGTGATGCGTGAGAGCGTGGGAAGATGGCACCTGCTCCGCGGGCTGCTACAGCTGTTGCTCCTGCGTCGGCAGCGATGGACGCGGGTGCATCGGCGGCGGTGGATTTGCGGTGGCGACTGGCGAGCTGCTGCTCCTGCGTCGGCGGCGGTGGACGGGGGTGCGTCGGCAGCGATGGATTGCAGTGGCGAGCTGCTGCTGTTGCTGCTACTCCAGCTAGCTCTGGGGGCGCAACGAGTGAGAAAAAGTCCACCCCCAGGCCAAAGTTCTCGCCAGCAGCCCTCCAAGGGGCGAAAAAAAAATGCCTCCTTAGAGCAAGTCCAGCAGTTCCCCTAAAATTTCTCCCCTATATCTCAAAACAGGGGACTCCCCTAAAAAGATTCTCCCCTAAAAATTGCTCAACTCCAGCAGTTCCCATAAACATCTCTCTTATTCTATATTTTAAGAATATTTCATAACTACCAACGGCTAGTTTCCAACGGCTAGTTTTCCAACGGCTAGTTTCAGCCCTATAAATACATGATCACCCCTCATATCTATCACAATCCTGATCATGCCTCCTCTTCTACCTCTCTTGCGCCATCTCTCTGCCATCTCTCCACAACGAAATGAGTCACCGTCGAAGTTTGGCCCGACAGTTTTGCGAAGATTCCTCCTCCGAAGATGAGGAACTCATGATGGCTGCAATTGTAGCAGAGGAAGAAGAAGCCCGGTTGGATGCTCCACGACATGGAGGTTCACAACCGGGACGTCAATCTCTTCAGCGCGATTTTGCGGAACGCTTTCAGAATCTCCACAAGGACTATTTTGCAGAGAACCCCACCTTCAAGGCAAGGATGTTTCGCAATAGGTATGAAATTTGTGCATCTATTTCGTTTTCATCATAGTAGTTGCTCTTCATGTCTCATTTAAGTTTTTCTTCACAGGTATAGAATGCATCGTCCTCTTTTTCTGCGCATAGCAAGTGCTATAGAGGCACATGATAGCTATTTTTCCCTGAGAAGAAAGTGCTGGTGTTCCTGGTTTACATCCTTATCAAAAATTGACCTCAGTATTTCGAATCCTAGCTTATGGGATAGCAGCTGATCTTATTGATGAGTATTGTCGGCTAGCAAAGTCCACCGCTTTAGAAAATCTTAGAAGATTTGTGCGTGCTGTGATCGAGGTCTTTGGGGGTCAATACCTGAGATCTCCAAATGCTGAAGATACTGCTAGATTACTTGCAATTGGAGAGCAAAGGGGGTTTCCGGGTATGCTCGGAAGCATCGACTGCATGCTGTGATCGATGTCTTTGGGGGTCAATACCTAAGATCTCCAAATGCTGAAGATACTGCTAGATTACTTGCAATTGGAGAGCAAAGGGGGTTTCCGGGTATGCTCGGAAGCATCGACTGCATGCATTGGAAGTGGAAAAATTGCCCTACTGCACACAAAGGTTTTTTTGTTGGCCATAAACGCGTACCCACGGTCATTCTTGAAGCCGTTGCTTCACAAGACTTTTGGATTTGGCATTCTTTCTTTGGTTTACCAGGATCTCATAATGATATAAATGTCCTCCACCGTTCACCCGTGTTTGCAAACCTAGTTGAAGGGCATGCTCCAGAAGTGAATTATACCATCAATGGTCACAACTACAACACGGGGTATTACCTTGCAGATGGCATATATCCGCAGTGGGCAACTTTTGTGAAGACAATTCCAAATCCCAAAGGTGAGAAGAACAAAAATTTCTCCCGGTTTCAAGAAGCATGTCGGAAGGATGTCGAACGAGCCTTTGGTGTTCTGCAAGCTCGTTTTGCTATTGTACGTGGACCGGCAAGGTATTGGGATCTGGAGACACTCGGAGAAGTGATGACAGCTTGTATCATCCTGCATAACATGATAATAGAAGATGAGCGTGGAAGTCGTGTAGACTACCGCTACGATAACATGGGAGAACTAGTGACACCTTCTCACCGAGAGGCGGCTACATTGACTCAGTTTCTTCAAGCTCAGAGTGATATTCGAGACAAACAAGTTCATTGTCAGCGGCAAGTTGATCTAGTTGAGCACCCGTGGCAGATCCGTGGACTGATGTAGCTTTCAATAATGTAGTCTATGTCACCATTTTAGATTATGCAAGTGTGTACTGTTTTTCAATTATAATGGGAGTGTAAGCACTATCTGTATCATTTTCTAAATAATGGAAGCAATAGTTTACTACACATAGTCAGCCAAATGGTTCAGAGATATAGTACAGATTACTACACATAGTTCATCCAAATGGTTCAAAGATAATAATTAGTACAGATTACAAGACACATTTCATCCAAATGATTCGAAGATAATAAGTAGTACAGATTACAAGACACATTTCATCCAAATGGTTCGAAGATAATAAGTAGTACAGATTACAACACATAGCTCAAGCCGACGAGTTACGATGTCGGTTGATGATCTGGCTCTTCCTTAATTTGTAGAATTCTTGTTCTTGCTCATCCATGCCACTAAGGTCCATGCTCATTATTTTGCTTTCTTCAGCCCCCATCATGCGTTCTTCCGCCATTCTCATGATTCGTATCTTTTCTTCTTCTAATTCCATCTTTTTTTCTTGTATTGCAAGTTTCTTTCTTTCTTCTACCAACCTATCTTCTTCTCTCTGTTTGTCCATTGCAATCATGAGCTCAAATCGCTCTTGTCTTTTTGACTCCCTTGTCTCCAAGATACCCCCAAATGATTCCATGGCACTACTATTAACTGTAATGGAAGAACTTTGAGCCCGCCATGCTGCATCTTTAGCCCTCTTGATTCCAGGTGGCCTTTTCTTGGGGACAACTTTAGAGGGAGATGTAGCTTCATCCTCAAACAAACTAGCAGATGATGAATTAGGAGTATCCAACGAGGATGTCTTCTGTTTTTTCTGGGGCCGAGATTTCCACTTCTCGGTGTCTTCCAACTTATTAAAGCAATGCATCAATCCAAATGATTTATTTGCCTTGTCTCCATTGGCATAGAGAACAATCGCTTGACATAGCTACATTAATACATATGCATCAGCACAACAAAGATATGAACAAAATAGGAACCATGCAAAGCATATTTGTTACCTTATTTTCACGTGTCATCCCACTTTGGTTCCTATTCAGGACCTGACTATAATATGCACAAAATCTATTCACTTGTTCTTGAATAATAGCCCAACGATGCTGAAGAGAACCTTGTGTGCGACCATGGTCTTCAGATTTATTGGCATGGAAATAAGCATCGATTCTTTTCCAATAACAATCACGAGATTGGTCGACTCCTATGATTGGATCTTGAGTTATCTCAAGGTATGCATCCACCAAAGTTAAATCTTCAGCCTTGCTGAAATTCTTTTGCCTCTTCGAGGCGCTTGATTTCTTCCCCTTTGCTTTCAAAGACCTTGCTGTCATAGGAGGGGTAGGTTCTGCAGGCCCTTCGAGATCAGTTTGTTCTTCTTCATCCTTTTCGAGATCCATTTGTTCTTCTTCGGTCCAGTGCAAATCATTCAATCCGACATCACTTTGCAAAAGTTCAAAATAACTCTGATCGTCCATTACTTAAACCTGAAACAAAAAAGAATGAACCATACATCATATAGATGTGCAGCAACCAATAGCAAATAACTAGCAGCAATCAATCGCAAATAGCTATGTAAATGTTATATCCCAGTAGCAATTAACTTGCAGCAGTCACTAGCAATCAGTAACAAATACAAATGAAATCAAATAGCAGCAACAGTCAGTGGAAAATTACTAGCAATAGCACCAACAATCAGTAGCAACCTATCTCTCTGATCTATATCTAAATGTGCAGCAAACACATCATACATCATGAAGAAAGCACCATACATCTATATTAATGTGCAGCAATCACAACATCTCTCATATCTCTGCTCTCTTTCTCTCTGTTCTCTCTAGCAGAAGCGGGCAGTAGCAGCAGCTCCAGCAAGCCACACCATGGATGCATGCCATCTCTATAGCAGCAGCGCCCAGCTCCTCCCTTCTAGCGCCTCCCTCCTCGCTGAACCCACTGCCCGGCGGCGGCCACGCCCCTCCCACATCTGGTCTTCACCCACGGCGGCGGCCACACCCCTCCCCCCGTTTGGTGTTTAGCCACGGCGGGCGCGCGGCTCCCCCAGCCGAGTCACGACAGCCGCCCCCCTTCCCCCCAGCCATGGCAGCCACGGCAGCCTAGCACCTCCTCATCTGCAGCCAAATCGGCCGCGCCCCCAGTATCCATTGCCGGCGGCGCCCTCTCTCCTTCCCCTTTCTATTCTGCTCGGATCTGAGAGAAAAACATGGAAAGAACGAACCTGATGCAGTGACGGCGGCGACGTTGTGGCGGGACGGAGCTTTCCGGAGGCAGCGGTTGCGCCGGCCAGCGAATCGGGGAGGTCGTCGTTCCCCTAGATAGAGGGGAGAGAGGGGTCGTTTTCGGGGAGGCAGAAAAAAAGGGGAGACGTTCGGGGAACTGTTGGAGGCTGTTTTTTTGCTTTTCTCCCCTATAATGACGATGGGGGGTGGTTTCGGGGCGCTGCTGGACTTGCTCTTAGGGGGAGGGGGGGCGTCCCAAATAGTATGTGCTTCGAAATTGGTGCACGTGTTCTTCAAAATTCAAACTTCCAGTGACAAGTAGTCCAACTATATGTAGATTATCTGATACAAAATCAGAGCCATACAAAACTCCGACAATATTAATTTTGTGAGACATACTCTCTTTTTTTTGCCTATGGAAAGTAACTTTTTTGTCTTACTAAATTATTACAGTCAGTGATATCAATAAGTCAGCAGCTGGAATACTTCAAGGAATACAAGGAGAGGCTGAAGCAGGCCAAGGGCCAGGCCGTGGCCGACGAGATCATCGCCGAGGCGCTGTACATCTTCAGCATCGGCACAAACGATTTCTTCGTGAACTACTACGTCATTCCTCTCCGGCGCGCCCAGTACACGCCAACGGACTACGCCAGCTACCTGGTAGGCCTCGCCGAAGACGCCGTCCGCCAAGCTTACGAGCTCGGCGCCCGCAAGGTCATGCTCGGCGGCATCCCGCCGTTCGGGTGCGTGCCGGCGGCGAGGACGTTGAACCGGGAGGCGCCGGGGGAGTGCAACGAGGAGTACAACCGGGTGGCGCTGAGGTACAACGCCGGGATCCGGGACGCCGTGGTGAGGCTCGGCGCCGAGCTCGCCGGCGCGCGGGTGGTGTACCTGGACGTGTACGACGTGCCGTCCGCCATCTTCGCCAGCCCGTCGGAGTACGGCTTTGAGAACGTTGCGCGAGGCTGCTGCGGCACGGGGCTCATCGAGACGACCGTCCTTTGCGGCATGGACGAGGCGTTCACGTGTCAGGATGCTGATAAGTACGTCTTCTTTGATTCGGTCCATCCTTCTCAGAGGACATACAAGCTTTTAGCGGACGAAATTATCAAAACTACGCTGCAAGTATTCCTAGCATGATATTTTGTACACCTACGGTATATAAAAATTAAGGAAATCAGATACTAGTGGTAGGAAAGAGTAGATTTTGTGCAGATCCACCGTTGGTTTCCTGGGTAACAGGGACATCTTATATGCGAATTTTCTTTTACTTCAAGGGCAGTTTAATCCAATATAAGACCATCTCTAGCCAAACTTCTATAATTGAGCTCATTAAATTTTTAGCCAAACTTCTTTGGTCGCTGCTGTGGTAATATCGGAGTCAGGTGACGGACGATGGTGTTAAACTCGGAGAATTCTTTGGTTATGATTATAATTTTCTTTCTTGGCTGGTATTCCTTTGTGCAAAGACAAGCGTTTTGTTGTTTTTTCAGTCTTGTCAGGTTGGTGTTTACGTGACTTGTACTATGATGCTTATGACATAATGAGACACGTATTACCATGAAATAAAAAAGAGTTGGTCTCCTAGTTACTAAGTAATGGGAAATGGTAGATTTTGTGCACATTCACTGTGGGTTTCTTGGGTAACATGGATCCTTATATGGGATTTTCTTTACATAGGCATTTTAATCCAAAACAAAATAAGAAATCTCTGGCTGAACTTCTATAATTTAGCTCATCAAATAGCCCCTCGAACCTTAAGTCCTCAAATTTGAGGAGTTAAACAAAACAATTTCTACTTAAACCCCTAGAACTGAGCTCGCTAAAAAAACTTATTGGTCAATTCCTCTAAGTTTTGCTTTACGTATACTATATTTCAATTGTATATTTGCACACATAATAAATCCAAACTTGATAGTGAAGGTTCACACAATTCACCAATATTACAAATTTAAAGTTTACAAATGAAATTATTCAAATTCAGACACACAAAAGGGAAGATCATTTTGAAGTTGGGTATGAACTTCTCGATTTTTTATGCAGATATGGCCTAGGAACACTGGAGATCGAAAGGTCGAGCGTGAATCATATAGTAGATATGATCAATATAGTGATGTTCACCATTGAAAACTACTCCATCTCATGTGATGATCGGACATGGTTTAGTTGATTTGGATCATGTGATCATTTAGATGACTAGAGGGATGTCTATCTAAGTGGGAGTTCTTAAGTAATATGATTAATTGAACTTTAATTTATCATGAACTTAGTCCTAATATTATTAACATATCTATGTTGTAGAACAATAGCTCGCGTTTAGCTCCCCTGTTTTATTTTTGATATGTTCCTAGAGAAAAATAAGTTGAAAGATGTTAGTAGCAATGATGCAGATTGGATCTGTGATCTGAGGATTATCCTCATTGCTGCACAGAAGAATTATGTCCTTTATGCACCGCTAGGTGACAGACCTATTGCAGGAGCAGATGCAGACGTCATGAACGTTTGACTAGCTCAATATGACGACTACTTGATAGTTTAGTGCACCATGTTTAACAGCTTAGAATCGGGACTTCAAAGACGTTTTGAACGTCATGGATCATATGAGATGTTCCAGGACTTGAAGTTAATATTCAAGCAAATACCCGAGTTGAGAGATATGAAGTCTCCAACAAGTTTTATAGCTACAAGATGGAGGAGAATAGCTCAACCAGTGAGCATGTGCTCAGATTGTCTAAGTACTACAATTGCTTGAATCAATTGGGAGTTAATCTTCCAGATAAGAGAGTAATTGACAAAGTTCTCTAGTCACTATCACCGAGTTACTAGAACTTAGTGATGAACTATAATATGCAAAGGATGACAAAAGTAATTCCCAAGCTCTTCGTGATGCTGAAATCGACGAAGGTAGAAATCAAGAAAAGCATCAAGTGTTGATGGTTGACAAAGACCACTAGTTTCAAAAAAAGGGCAAAGGGAAGAAGGGCAACTTCGGGAAGAACGGCAAGCAAGTTGCTGCTCAAGTGAAGAAGCCCAAGTCTGGACCTAAGCCTGAGACTGAGTGCTTCTACTGCAAAGGGACTGGTCACTAGAAGCGGAACTGCCCCAAGTATTTGGCGGATAAGAAGGATGGTGAGGTAAACAAAGGTATATTGGATATACATGTTATTGATGTGTACTTTACTAGTGTTTATAGCAACCCCTCGGTATTTGATACTAGTTCAGTTGCTAAGAGTAGTAACTTGAAACAGGAGTTGCAGAATGAACAAAGACTAGTTAAGGGTGAAGTGACGATGTGTGTTGGAAGTAGTTCCAAGAATGATATGATCATCATCGCACACTCCCTATACTTTCGGGATTAGTGTTGAACCTAAATAAATGTTATTTGGTGTTTGCGTTGAGCAAGAATATGATTTGATCATGTTTATTGCAATACAGTTATTCATTTAAGTTAGAGAATAATTGTTATTTTGTTGACATGAATAAAACCTTCTATGGTTATACACCCAATAAAATGGTTTGTTGGATCTCGATCGTAGTGATACACATATTCATAATATTGAAGCCAAAAGATGCAAAGTTAATAATGATAGTGCAACTTATTTGTGGCACTGCTGTTTAGGTCATATTGGTGTAAAGCACATGAAGAAAATCCATGCTGATGGGCTTTTGGAATCACTTGATTAATGAATCAGTAGATGCTTGCGAACCATGCCTCATGTGCAAAGATGACTAAGACTCCGTTCTCCGGAACAATGGGGTGAGCAATTGACTTATTGGATATAATACATACTGATGTATGAGGTCCGATGAGTGTTGAGGCTCGCGGCGGGTATCGTTATTTTCTGACCTTCACAGATGATTTGAGCAGACATGGGTATATCTACTTGAAGAAACATAAGTCTGAAACATTTGAAAAGTTCAAAGAATTTCAGAGTGAAGTGGAAAATCATCGTAACAAGAAAATAAAGTTTCTACGATCTGATCGTGGAGGAGAATATTTGAGTTGCGAGTTTGGTCTTCATTTGAAACAATGCGGAATAGTTTCGCAACTCATGCCACCTGGAACACCACAACGTAATGGTGTGTTCGAGCATCATAACCGTACTATATTATATATGGTGCAATCTATGATGTCTCTTACCGATTTACCACTATCGTTTTGGGGTTATGCATTAGAGACAGCTGCATTCACGTTAAATAGGGCACCATCTAAATCCGTTGAGACGACGCCATATGAACTGTGGTTTGGCAAGAAACCAAAGTTGTCATTTCTTAAAGTTTTGGGTTGCGATGCTTATGTGAAAAAAATTCATCCTAATAAGCTCAAACCAAATCGGAAAAGTGCGTCTTCATAAGATACCCAAAAGTTACTGTTGGGTACATCTTCTATCACAGATCCGAAGGCAAGATATTCGTTGCTAAAATGGATCCTTTCTAAGAGAAGGAGTTTTCTCTCAAAATAAGTGAGTAGGAGGAAAGTAGAACTTGATAAGGTAATTGTACCTTCTCCCAAATTGGAAAGTAGTTCATCACTGAAATCAGTTCCAGTGATGCTTACACCAATTAGTGAGGAAGTTAATGATGATGATCATGAAAGCTTCGGATCAAGTTACTACCGAACCTCATAGGTCAACCAGAGTATGTTCCGCACCAGAGTGGTACGGTAATCCTATTCTGGAGTTCGTGTTACTTGACCATGACAAACCTACGAACTATGAGGAAGCGATGATGAGCCCAGATTCCGCAAAATGACTTGAGGCCATGAAATCTGAGATGAGATCCATGTATAAGAACAAAGTGTGGACTTTGGCTAACTTGCCCAATGATCGGCAAGCCATAGAAAATAAATGGATCTTCAAGAGGAAGACGGACACTGATAGTAGTGTTACTATCTACAAAGCTAGACTTGTCGAAAAAGGTTTTTGACAAAGTTCAAGGTGTTGACTATGATGAGATTTTCTCGATCGTAGTGATGCTTAAGTCTGTCCGAATCATGTTAGCAAATTGCCGCATTTTATGAAATCTGGCAAATGGATAAACAAAATTGCATTCCTTAAAGAAGTTATTAAAGAAAGAGTTGTATATGATGCAACCAGAAGGTTATGTCAATCCTAAAGGTGCTAACAAAATATGCAAGCTCCAGCGATCCATCTATGGACTGGTGCAAGCATCTCGGAGTTGGAAATATGCTTTGACAAGTTGATCAAAGCATATAGTTTTATACAGACTTGCGGTGAAGCCTGTATTTACAAGAAAGTGAGTGGGAGCACTACAACATTTCTGATAAGTATATGTGTATGACATATTGTTGATCGGAAAGAATGTAGAATTTTCTGGAAAACATAAAGGAGTATTCGAAAGGAGTTTTTCAAAGAAAGACCTCGATGAAGCTGCTTACACATTGAGCATCAAGATCTATAGAGATAGATCAAGACGCTTGATAAGTTATTTCAATGAGTACATACCTTGACAAGATTTTGAAGTAGTTCAAAATGGAACAGTCAAAGAAGGAGTTCTTGCCTGTGTTGCAAGGTGTGAAGTTGGGTAAAGACTCAAAACCCGACCACAACAGAAAATAGAAAGAGAATGATAAGTCATTCCCTATGCCTCAGTCATAGGTTCTATAAAGTATGTTATGCTATTTACCAGTACTATTGTATACCTTAGCATCTTTTTGGCAAGGGAGTACAATAGTGATCTAGGAGTAGATCACTGGACAGCGGTCAAAATTATCCTCAGAGGACTAAGGAAATATTTCTCGGTTATGGAGGTGATAAAAGAGTTCATCGTAAAGAGTTACCTCGATGCAAGATTTTTACATCGATCTAGATGACTCTAAGTCTCAATATGGATACATATTAAAAGTGGGAGCAATTAGCTAGAGTAGCTCCGTGCAGAGCATTGTAGACATAGAAATTTGTAAAATACATACGGATCTGAATGTTGCAGACCCGTAGACTAAACTTATCTCACAAGCAAAATATGATCACCCTTTGGGTGTTAATCACATAGCGATCTGAACTAGATTATAGACTCTAGTAAACCCTTTGGGTATTACTCACATGGAGATGTGAACTAATCACATAAAGATGTGAACTAGATTATTGACTCTAGTGCAAGTGGGAAACTGAAGAAAATAT